CTGGGAGCATTGTAGGGTGAGGAGGTGAGACTGAGAAACAGTTTGGATAAAAGGAATCGAGTGACAGATTTGAGGCCTCATGCTGGTTAAGGGTAAGGAGAATTGGGGGTTGGAGATGTAAGCAGAGGGTCTTTGAGTATGATGTGCTTCAGGAGAAGGGGCGGTTTTACCCCAGACAATGGGGTTGACTGAAGAAGTGGGCAAGGGACAGGACAGGTTGGGGATTTAGAGAGTGGGGGGAATAAACGAGGCTGAGGAAAGGAAGAGGGGGGGGCAGGAGTGTCCTGGGAGCTGTTGTAAGGGGAGAAGACGAAATGTATGTCGACTTTGGAGAGGACATCCCTTGCTAGTGAGGGAGTAGGGCATGAGGGAATGAGGAGAAGGATGGGAAAGGAAAACTTTGAAAGGAGGAAGTTAAGGGAGGAGTCTGGGGTGGGGGCGGGGTCAAGAATTTCATATTAAAGTAGAGCCTGTGTGAGGCACCAGAGGAAGTGACAGGGAAGTTCAGACTTGTCTGAATTATTTCTTGGATATATGTACCTGAGATTGCTTTCTCAGCCCTGCAGAAACTCTCAATCTTTTCTTGTGTGAAGCCTGTCAGCAAGGTAAACCGGACTGACAGGCAGCTGGGTGCTTGTTGTTGTTGACTCTCCAGTTAATCATCAATGTCATAAGAGATCTGAGAAGCATAACTTCCAATAGGAGGTATAATTTAAATGGTTTTTGTGTTGTTAAAATGGTAGAGATTTACTTAGACAGTTTTCGAAGCTTGCGTGGTTCTTGGGGTGCAGAAGCATTTGGTCTATGGCTGTCAGACATAAGCACTTTTAATCTTCAGTTGTCACACAGAGCAGCTGGCCTTCAGAGGTCAGACCCAGGTCTGAGGAATTTTGCCTGTCGAGGAAAAACTCAAGGAAATTAACCCCACTTTGCAGTTTTTTGTATACTCAGTTTAGGTTGCAGGCAGTATCAGGACTGGAAAGGGTTAAGTTGGGAAAGTAGTAATGGCCTTGGTGGCAACCCACCTTAACAAATAATGCCTTACATATGTTCCTAAGAGATTTGGGGGAGGAGGGAGGAGAGCAGTCAGCCTAATATCATTGACCTAGAGCACAGAGATTAGAGTTTACACCACGGGTAAACTCTTACCATCTATGATGAGCTAGGTTCTCCCTCACAGGGAGGAGATCCACAGCCTGGGTGAACTGAATCTGTTCCTCCACCTGGCACAGTAGCTAAATTGATGCAGGGACAAAGAAGCCCATGAACTGACATCAAGGCCCAAGTCTGGGCTTAGGGTTGGGAGGCAGATGCTCATTGCCATTGTCAACACAAAAATAAGACAATCAAAGGGGTAAGACACAGTTCATTCTAGAGCCAAATGTGAGGACCATGGCCCAGGAACACAGAGTTCAGTTACACAAAAGTCCATCTTCCAACATGGAAGCCATTTCATGAAGCTTTTAGGATAACAGCTGAAAGAGAGCAATAACTGAACACATTTCCAAGACATTTGTGGAAACATCAGAGATGGTTACCAGCCTTGGATGCCGTCTGTTGACGTTTTCAGCTTGTGAGTTGGAAGCTAGTGGTCTTCTAAGCTAATACATCCCCAATGGTTTTTGTCTCTTAGTCATGAGGTGTTAAGACCAACACAAAGGTGGCAAAGAATGGATATATGGAGACTAAGACCATCAGAGACAAGTTGTCATTAGGCTCTTGATCTGCAACATTCCACCCTCTCCACAGGTCTTCAAGTTCTGATTAGCTATTTGGGCTCTTAGAAACCTCAGGTGGGATTCCTTCTAGAAACTTTCATTACACCATCCACATTCATTTCTGACCTTGGAGCCACATTCTGTGCCCCAAGAAGCCAGGTGAGGTGATAGGGAGAGAGGCCTGTACACAGAGGAGGGACAGGGCCCAGCAGAGCTGTGGAATGACACATAGAGGCTGAGATCACAAAGATTCACCCTGCACTGTGAGATGAGAATGGTCTATGGTTGATTCAATGGCAGGTATGTGAAGAGGGAAAGACGAGGGTGGCGCCGAGTGAGTGGATTGTCTGGGTGTCCACTGGATCATCAGCTGCTCAGCAGGTGTGACCTCACCTGCTCTTCCCAGGCTGGGCACAATGGCCCTTCTCATGCCTCTGGCTGTGACTCAGATGCATAGCTGGGGACTGGACACACTGCTAAGGACAGCTGTGTCATATCTAACTCATCCAGGAGAAGATTCTTTCAGAAGTAGGGAGGTATCTGTCCATGCCCACAGCCACTCTTGAAGGCACAATTGTCCCATTCTGTAAATGTGATTTAGGCAGTGGCTGGGTCAAAGATTCATCAAACCTGTGGCTGAACTTGCATCTAGGTTGGAATCTGGCTGCTTTTTTCCTCTCCCTCAGAAGTCAGCACAAGGGACTGTAGGACACCCCTCATATGGGATCACCAAGGGGTTTGTCTTAGTTCCAGACCTCCTGATATATGACTAGGGTACCTCAGAGGGAAGGTGGCTTTCAGGATGACCTCTGGGAAATGGAGGCAATGAATGGTCTGGTTGGAGAGAGCAGAGAGCCCAGAGTCCATCCATCCTTGTGTGAGGACCAGCCTGGAGTTGGCCCTAGGGTATTGCCACATGAAGAGATGGGGGCAAAGGTGAACTTGAGAGGCAAAAGAACACAGAGATTACACCATGACTCTCTCAGAGTGTGCGTGCCAAGACCCATGGTGGAAACTTGGCCCAAAAAAGAGTGTCCTGTTCGAGATACTAGAAGGATCCATGTCAGTGGATATCAGCCTGCGTCCCCTGGCCTTGTCCAGTCTCTCTTCAGTGTGTGAATGTAGTCAGGAGCAGAGGGTGTTCTGTGTGCTGGGTGGGAAAGAGTGCCAGCTTGGGATCCAGAGAACAAGGTTCACAACCTGGTAAACAGTGCCATTGTGTATTTGATAAATCCAAGGGCAGAATCCAGGGAAGAGTAACCCATGTGTCCACATGAGCAAAGAATATTTGAGAAATTTTGGAAATATTAAAATCTCATTTTCCCCTCAAAGTCAGAATAAGTTGTGTGACATCGTGTACAGCATTTTCCCTCTCAGAATGTCTGTTTTTCACCAGATAAACAGAATTAGGGTTACCTGCTCTGCTCATCTCTAGCAGGACACCGCTCTCCTTGGTATTCAGACGCAGGGCACACACAAGACACAGAGACCATGGGAAAGTGGGTACCAGGAAGACTGGGCTTGTTTCTGATCCTAGAGATGTTCAGAGGGAAGAGACCAGGCCCCACATCCTGGATCCCAGAACCATTAAGGACTTGGGATATAGATGGTGAAAACAATTTAAACTTTTTTCATTAATTTAAACAACATTCCACCTCAGTGCAAATAAACACAAGCACACACATACTTCCCTGTCAGATGTAGCTTCATGAAGCTGGGTTTCAACCTTTCTCTCAAGAGTTTCCAAAAGTGTTTATTTCCTAACAATTTCTATGTCTTGGTGGCAGAGCACCTCTGGAATTAGTAGGCTCTGTTTGATTGGTTTAATCGCTAGTCTTGGTTGTCAAGTTGACTACATCTAAAATTAAATTAAAACCCAAATGCAAGGCATAACTGAGAGGGGATTTGACTCAATTTGAGGTGGGAAGACCCACTTCTATTCCTGATCTTTGATATGGGAAGACATGCCTTTGATACAGATCTATTGACGATTGAAGCTTTCTTTTTCAAGAGTTTTCTTGACTATGGTAGTTCCTCACAGCAAAAGAATAGGGACTAAGACAGTCAGTATAAGAAATTACAGCCAGGTGATGATTTTGCACACCTTTAATCCCAACACTCTTGAAGCAGGGACAGGAAGATCTCTGTATCTGAGAACAGCCTGGATTTTAGACTGAGTTCTAGGACTTTCAGGGCTACATGGAGAATCCCTGTGTAAAAAAACAAAGACAGACAGAAAGGAAGGGAGGGAGGGAGGGAGGGAGGGAGGAAGGGAAGGAGGCAGAAAGAAAGACAAAAAGGAAGAAGAAAGAAAGGAAGAAAAGAAGGAAGAGTAATTACCATTAATACAAACACAGTTCCCAGGTGGGTAGCAGAAAATTCCTTTCCATCTGTCATTCTGTGTGCAGAGTCTGTTGTTTCTCCACAGTTGCGTCTTCCCTGACACCTCCATTGTCTCAACAGGACAGTTGTCCTCTGCCTTGGCTGGAGAGAAGGTACCAGGGCTGGAGCCAAGAGACAAGCCTTCTTTAAATAGTAGTCACAGAGCCCAGGGAAAACAGACATGCTTTGGGTCAAGTTCTTTCTCTCCTAGGAAGCCATGTTGAATGACCTGTGTGTCACCAAATCCCAAGGTCACAGCAAGTGTCCCCATTCTGTCCCACAGGTTGTTTTTCTTCCAGCAGCCTGGACGCCTGCTGAGCTGTAAGAAAACCTGCCAGAATTACCTGAGTGGCACCAAGACCAGCAGCTGTCATGGCCTCCACAGGTAATCAGTCTTGTTCTCCCCTGCTGCACATGGCCTAGTATTGCCAGAGGCTCCATGCTGAGTGCTTGCTGAGGAGTCAAAGATACAAGAAGAGAACCCCAAGGGGGAACATAGAGAGTTCTCCAGGCTTGGGTAAGAGAGGTCCTCCGTCCTGGTCTTGTAATAGGGTGAATTCTCAGGAGGCTCCTCAATACCCAGCCTGAAAAATGGAAGCCAGGGGAGAGGTAGGGAGGGAAGATGAAAGGTAGGGAGGAAAGAAGGGAGAGAGGAGGAGAGGGAGGGAGCATGTGATAGGAAGCATCCAGGTGGGAGGCAGCTCTAGCCCCCTCATGGAGTCTTGCTCTCAGCTGACCCTGCTGTGCTGTCCCTGAGGAGGGAGCCCACCCTGCTCCAGCTCAGGAACCCATCTGTTCTAACTGCCTCAGCATGATGTTACTGCACCCCAGTGAGACTGTCCACAGTGCATCTATGTTACCTGACCACTCTTACCTCAGATTACCTATCCCACGAGGGCCATGTGTCCCCATGCATTTAGGCACCATGGAGCCTGCTGCAGCCTCTCCCTGCACTGCATTAATTCCAACCTCTTAATCTCCATCCCAAAGCTGTTTAAGGCACCTGCCCTGCACTGCCAGGACCAAAGCTTGTTTATCAGGTGGGCCTGATTTTTCTTTTGTCATATATAAAAAAGCTGAAGTTGAAACAGAAACCCAGAAAAAAAAACAAAAACAACAACAACAAACAAAAACCTTCACTCAGAATCACTCTGTACCCAGAAACCTGAAAGTTCTTAACCCAGGAACAGACCTACTTCACCTCCTGGTCCACACCAGTGTCCTCAGCTCTGTGTTCCCTGGCTTCTTCCCCCACCTCTGATGCTTAGACAGTCAAGTCATTTGCTCAAGGTTGACCAACCCGCACAGCATGGCAGTCATGTTCAAAATGAGAGAGAAAAAAACTACAGAGATGCCTACACGGTCAGGACGGCCGTCATTAAGGAAATAAGAAACAAACAGTTGGGGAGAGGGACATGTGTTCCTCAAGGAAATGTAAGTTAGTCTGGCCACCATTGAAATCAGAATGGATAGTTTTGAAAATATGAAAATATAACTTCTGTAAGGCCCAGTTACACTGCTCCAGACCATATACCCAAAGGAACCCCTATCAGCGTGTCAGGGAGGTGCTGGTACATTCATGGTTAGCACAGTGTGATTGACAATAACTAAGATATGGAACGAGCAACCGAGCACATCAATGGATGGGGGCATAAAGACCATGTGGTGTACGTAACAATGGAATCCTATTCCACCATAAAGATGAATGAAGCATGTCATCTGCAGGAACTTGGTTGGAACTCTGGGTCATCATGTTAAGCAAAATAAGTCAGACTTAGAAGACAAATATTGAGTGTTTTCTTTCAAATGTGGAACCTAGATTACACACATGCACACGCACATGCACACACGCGCACACACGCACACAGTTAGAGGGGACTGTTAGCCAAAGGCAGATTAGTAACAGGTGAAGGTAACAGTAAATGCTGCCAATATACATGATAAACTTGAATGAAAATGGCATTTCAAAGCTCAGCACTTTGGACAATAGAGTTAATAAGAAAGGAAAAGCATTCAATAGAATAAGGAAGGGAGGAAAGTTTAGAGGCAGGGAGCTCAGAGCACGCAGCAGACCATCACAAGGGACAGAAAGCACATGGATTCCTCAGGGTAAATATTCCCTCTTCACAAAAGGGGCAGCCTGAAAAACCTTGACAGGTGCTGGGGTGCCAGGCCCCTGACACATGAGGAAACCACAGGATCAGCGTGGAGGGTCCCACCAATCAGTTATCTCTGTATGTTCTCCATCTTAGCATGCCCATCACAGCAGGAACAGTCTTCACTGACACTTGATCTTAGTTGTGTGTCATATGAAACGTCATTTTCCAATAAATGTAAGAGGCATGCCCACCAGGTATGTTACAAATGACTCCTCCTCACTCCCTTCTCTTTAAGCCCATAGGCTCCACATACCTGAGAACTACACCTTGTGGGCCACTCACTTTGGCAGGAACCTGACCCTAGGTGACCTGAGATATTTTGCAGCCATTACACTGTTGGTCTCATTGAATGGAAAGTTCATGTGTTCTGCTGCCAGTGGTGAATGAATGTCTTTACCCTGTGTGCCTCTTCCTACCTTCTTCCTTTTCCATTTCTCTCTAACACTCTCTCTTCCTCACCCCCCTCTTCTCTGTCTCTCAAACAAAGTCTTGCTATGTCGCCCAAGCTGACCTCAAACTGACAATCCTTCTGCCTCATCCTGGATGTGCCGGGATTATGGGTCTGCACCATCACTTAGGGTTCCATTTCTCACAGATTACAAGTGCTAATTAACTGAATATTTAAGAGTAGCTAGTTAACTGAAAAATTCAGAACAGGTAGTAGTGATGGTTAGAACTGAATATTTTCATTGTATTTTTCCTGCATGTATGTCTGAGTGAGGGTGCTGGAAGCCCCCAGTGCTGGAGTTACAGACAGGTGAGAGTTGGCCTGAGGGTGATGGGAATTGAACCTGGGCCCTCTGTAAGAACAGTGCTCTTAACTTCTGAGCCATCTCTCCAGGCCAATTTTGAACATTCTTAAATGAATGATAAATATTTGAACTGATAACATTCTATTTCCCCATGAAATATCATACTGTTGCATACATACATACATATAAATACAAAGGACAATTAAAATGACAATTCAGAAATCATTTAACAGTATTGTAAAAGATGTAAACTCTGAATGAGCTGAGTGTTTGCATGCATGTGGTTGTACATATGTTCATGCATAGCATAATCCAGGAATACTCTTCCTCTGTTCTTTCCTCTGGTATTGTCAATTCCATTTCTTTTTTAGATCTGGTTTTGGATTTGGTTTTCCAGGACAGGGTCTCACTGTGTATCTCTAGCTGTTCTGGAACTCTCTGTGTAGACCAGCCTGGGATGGAGCTCACAGCGATTCTCCTGGATCAGTCTCCGGGTGCTGGGATGGAAGGCAGGCACCTAAAGTGGGCTGCCTACAGATTCCCCTACAGGCACCACTATGCCCGGCTGTGTTTCCATTGGCTCTGTCTTCCATTCATTCATTTACTCAATGTCCGTCAGCTTTTCAGACTGATGTTTCTCACTTTCTCATGGTTGTAACCAATGACGACAGAGTATTTGCTGGTAATGTAGCATATTTTCATCCATGATGGAATGAAGGCAGGGGTGGCAGCTCACAAAAAGCAGTAACAGGAAAGGGCCAAGGCAAGATATCCATCAGCCCCAAAGACACATCCCAGAAGCCCTTCTGACTCCAGCCAGGCCCCACTTCCCATGGTGCCTCACCTCAGCCTTTGAACCACTCATTGGCTCAGATCACTTAGGATCTACTTCTATATGGAAGCTCCCTCACAAACCACCCAAATAAGGGCCACTGATCTCCAAGATGTTTACTAGTCCAGTGGATTGAAACTCAGAATAATTAACTCACCATTCCAGTTTCAAAAGTCACCTTTGGGACTGGAGAGTGATTCAGAAGTTAAGGGCACTTGCTGCCCTTGCAGAGGACATGGGTTCAGTTCCCAACACCCACATCAGGGTCACAGTAGTCTGTAACTGCCACTCCTGAGGATCCAAGGCCCTCCTTGGGCACCAGACACTCACATGGTGCACAGACAAACATACAAGCAGGCAAATATTCCTATGCATTACATAAAAATCAAGGATAAAAGTCACATTCAACCACTTCCTACTTCTTCTGAGCAGAAAATATCATGTGTATCTGCAAAGCACAATGACACAGCTCTGGTACATTGGTCTTCTCAAAATGCCATTACTAAGTGACACTGGGTAGGTGGCTTAAAAAGAAAAAAACCTATCCTCTCCCTGCTCTGGAACCCAGCATCCACAATCAAAGTGAGGCAGGTTGTCACTGGGGAGCCCTCTCTTCCTGGATGGCAGGGGAGCCTGTGCCCTGTGCTGGTCCATGGACTCTCTTATGTGTCTGGAGAGTTGAAGAGAGGCAAGGAAAGAGAGAAAGGGGAGAGGAGGGAAGATAGAGAAGGAGGGAAAGGGAGAGAGGGAGTTTCTCCTGGTTGCTATGACGACACTAATATCCATAGTATTGGTGTCCTCACTCAACCTCCCTTGGTTCCTTAGCAGCTCTGTTCCCAAATAGAGTCACCTGGGGTTAGAGCTTTTACAAATGAGTTAAGGGACACAACTCAACCCCTACCACTAATGACACCTCAAGGAACAGATGCTGAGAAAAACATTTAACCAGCTGTTCCTGAAGCCAATCAAGTTCTTATGCACGGTCACCTGACCCTATTCTTTTTCTTACCCATCTAGAGAGAAAACTCTTCCTTGAGTCTATGGTTGCGTACCTCCTGGACACAAGGAGCACAGAGGCTCTGAAGTTCCTGCTGACTGAAGAGGAAGCCTGGAAACAGCTTGTGGAAGGAACTGGTTTGTCCAGGTCACCTCTCTCGTGGATGCTAGCAATGCCACCAGAGCCCATGCTGTGTTGTCTTTTTCTGGACAGGAATATTCTGTCCAGGAAGAACAAGTAGTTGGGGTCCAGGGTGTCCCTTCTCAGGAAATATTACATTGATGCTGTTTAGTAGCAGGGAACAGCTTCTGATTGATGGGATGTAATAACCACAGGGGACAAGATTGTTGCTTCCATGGCTGTGCCTGTGACCATGAGAACTTAGTTTATCACCTTTGCTTTATTTGAAGAGCATTGCACTTCATTGTAAGAAAAATAAGAGGATACATATGGAGGGTTCAGCATATGACCTGCACACAGGCCAGCAGCACATAGTGGGTGTTCATTGAAAGTTGATTATTACAAAGGTTTTGTTTTTAAACTGTGTGTATGTGCCTGGGTGTATCCTTCTTGCACTTGAGTGAACTTATATTACAAGCTGTCTTCCTCACTCAATCTGTCTCTCCTGTTACAGAGAAGAGGAAATTTCCTTGCATGAAGCTCTTAGTGATATTTTTGCAGATCCTGATATAGAAGATGAAGACATGCTCCAAAATGACCTGCAGGAGAAGACAGAGAGGTACTCAGCCATATACTCCATGAGCTTTTTCTCTTAGGTTGGGGAAAAAAAGAAGAACAGGGTTAGGGGACTGTGTATTAGAGCTTGAATGGTGCCAGACAGTGGTGTCACACAGCTTTAATCCCAGTACTCAGGAGGCATCGGTAGGGAGATCTCTGTGATTTCCAGGATAGTCTAGTCTGTAGAACAAGTCCCAGAACAGCCAGAGCAACACAGACAAATCCTGTCTCAAAAACAAAAACAAAAACAAACAAACAAAAGAAAAGAAAAAGAAAGAAAAGAACTTGAATGGCATCATGGACAAGCTGTTTAAATGTGTTTATGAGCACTTGCCATGTGAGGCATTTTAATGGTGTCACTAGTGGGAGGGACTGAGTTGTGTCCCTATACTCATTAAAAGAAACCCTAACCAAGGTCGCTGTATTTGAACATAGAACATTTAAGCAACCAAAGTATTGAAATTAAGCCAGGGCATGAGTGAGGTCCCACCAATTCCACAGGGTTATCCATGAAGGACAAAAGAGGCCCTCATATCACCTCAAGGCCACTGTGAGGCTCTAAGTGTGGGTACAGAGAACTAAAGTCACTTTTTCTGCAAGAGAAGTGCATGATCTGAGTGAATGAGCCATCCCTCAGCTCCTTTAAAAGAAACAATCACCTTTATCGACCTGGAACTTGTACCTGGATTTTCTTTCTGCCACCTTCTTCAGACACCTTTCCCCAAATAAACATACAGACACTATAATAATTATAAAACTGGTAGACAATGGCTAGGGCTTCTAATTGGCTAGCTCTGTCTTAATTAATAACCAATAGCTACTAATCTACATATTTCCACATAGCCTCATCTTTCTGGAGAATGCCTGGTGCACCCTATCTTCCAGTTGTCTACATGGCATCCCTTCGTGGTCTCTCACTCTGCTTCCTTTCCCAGAAATCTCTTCGTCTCCTAGACCTGCCTATCTTCCTGCCTCTATTGTTCCAACAGTGTTTTATACATCAACCAAGAAGAGAAACATATGTACAGAAGGACATCCCCCATCAGGAACTCATCAATTTGACTACAGTAACTGTACACAGAGCACCAGGGATGCTCATGACTCTGCATCCCCAAACAGGGATTGCAGGCGTTTGCAGGGATTGCAGGTGTCCAGCACCTGGCTTTTCAATGTGGACTCTGGAAGACTGAACTCTGCTCCACATGTTTGCATGGCAAACACTTTACCAACTTAGCCACATCCACAGTCCACTTCAAGGGCCTTAAGCGAGAATCCTCTGTTGTCTCAGGACACGATGCACTCATGTGAGAGTTCACATGCAGTGTCCCACACCAAGACAACTCCCATGGGAAGCAGTAATTATTCTGACACAGATTAACAGTAGGAAATACTGCTCAGGACTGTTCATCTAAGGGAAAGAGGCACAACAATTCTGGGTATACATGCATGTGGGGACTCTAGCAGACAAACTGACTTAGAGACAGTAGATAGCAGAGACTAGGGGCACTGTGAAGCTGACCTCATGGTGATTTCTCCTGAGGGAAGTCAAGGCCTAACACATGGAAGTTAGACATGGAAACTTGAATGAGTATCGAGTATCAAGTATCAAAGGTAGAGTGTTCTCACAACCTGACTTAGGATTCTTGACAAGCCTGGGCAGGGCAAGCCCACCATGCACAGGAAAGACATGGAAAGCCAAGACCAACCCACACTCAGGAGCAGTTTAGAAAAGCTTAATAAAGTTTTCTCAAGGAAAATGCTTTGTCCACATAAACCTCACTGTTCAGAAGATTGTTGGGATTTGATCATATACACAGTCCGCATGAGTGACCGGGGGTTTTCTTGCTTCCTAGAGTTCATGCCCTTAGTGTCTACTTCCTTTGGAGGTCAGAAATGACAGCAAAGTCCCACCACACATCACCTTTCTCAGGCTGAGAAATCACTCAGGGAGGGCTAGGGAACTGGTTTGAGTTCTCAGTTTTGCCTGCTACTGAAACACTTGCAGAGGCACAGTGAGATTTCCTGGGGATGGGACCCACATGTAAATGAGGAATCCACTCAGGTTTCTATATCTTCTGCTCACAGCAGGAAGGAACTTTAGTGCTGTTTTGAGTGGATGGGTCTTCCTGTGAGAGGCCACATCAGCTCAGTGTACACAGAACTGCACTGCAAAAATACATGCAGCTTCAAATAAGTCCTATTGGGTTTCTCTCTTAGGTAGGTGCAATTTGCAGACTTTCCATCCTTAATTCCCAAGCAAATCTGGACATCCCTGAAAAGCAGGACACTGTAGGGCAGGCAGATCAATTCCCAGTAGATGAGGACAAGAGGAGGCTTTTCTTTGGGAACAGTGAACTCTTCTGAGAAAAATAACCTTTTATTGTTATTTTTTTTTTAACCTCACTCCTCTGTGTTTGTTTCAGAGTTCCTACAGAGAAGGATGTTGGTAGTGATGATTCTGACCTTGAGGGGAAGGCATCTTTATTAAATGTCTAGCAAAAAAAAGGGTGTGTTAAGGTCTAGAGATGGCTCAGGGGTTAGGAGCACTGAAAGCTCTTCCAGATGACTGAGGTCCAGTTCCCAGCAGCCTCATGGTGACTCACAACTGTCTGTAACTCCGGGTCCATAGATCCAATTCCTTCTGCCCTCCACTGGCACCAGGCTTGCAATGCACACACACACACACACACACACACACACACACACTTGTGTGCACACACACTCTACAGGCAAAACACTCAAACACATTAAATAAAGAAAATTAAAAGGACACATTACTATCATTTTTAATACATTGTGTCCTTAACAATTAAAGATGGAACAGTGGGTCAAACCTGCTCATCAATGAAGGAAAGATCCTCTACAGCTGTAACACTCTCCTCCATTTCATCACAACAAATGCTCTGTGATTTCCACAGGACAGACCTTACTTTACAAGCTGTGTTCCTCACTAAGTGGGTCTCTCCTGTTACAGGGATGAGGAAGAAGCCTTGAGTGAAGCTCTTGGTGACACCATAGTGAATAGTGATGTAGACGATGAATATCATCTCCAAAGAGAGCTTGAGGCGCAGAAGAGGTTTTTGGATGTTTATCCTCAGGTGAAACTGGAGCTTGAGCAGCACATCAGGAAGCTCCATGACCTTGCAGACAAGGTTGACAAGGTGCACAGGGACTGCACCATCACACAAGTGGTGGCCAACTCCACCAGTGCTGTGTCTGAAGTCCTGAAAATCCTTGGTTTTGCTCTCGCACCTGTGACACCAGGAGTCAGTCTGGGACTTTCAGCCACAGGCTTGGGTCTGGGAGCAGCAGCAGCTCTGACGAGTGTTTCCACAAGCATTGTGGAAACAGCAAGCACAGCGTCAGCGGAAGCTGAAGCCAGCCAGCTGGGGCCAACCAACCAAGACACAGCGAACACCATTAAAGAAGTTTTGGAGAAGAGCACCCCCGGGCTTGCTTCGGTATATGAGAAATCCTTCCAGGACCTGGAAGTCTTCAAGAAGAACATTGATGCCATCAATCTGGTCAAAACCAACCCTCGCTTAGCTAATAATGCCAAGCGTCTCATGACAACTGGGGCAGTGTCAGCCCGAAAAACAAGACAGGTGCAGAAATCCTTTGGAGGCACTGCTCTGGCGATGACCAGAAGAGCCCGGGTCATGGGTGCAGCCAACTCAGGCCTCTCCCTTGTGATGGATGTGGTCAGCCTTGTGGAAGCCTCAAAGCATTTGCATGAGGGTGCAAAGGCAGATTATGCTGCTGAGCTGAGGAAGCAGGCTCGGGACCTGGAGCAGAAGTTGCAGGATCTCATCCAGGTCCATGACAGCCTGACTCAGTAACCTCTTAGTGCAGCTCAGAGGACTGGGGGTGGGGGATTACTGGACAGAGCCATGCACACATGATAACTCCTGACTGTATCCCCTCAACAGCAATGCTATTATGGTGGCAGTGCCTGCTAGAGGGAGAGGCCACACTGAGAGAATTGAATCCGGAACAGGCTGTGACCCCCACCCTCACACACACACCTCACTATACTACACCTCTTAGATACAACAATCTACAACATCCCACATAAGGACCAAGGTCCCAGTGTGGGGAGCACATCCAAGTCATGACTATGCAACAGCATGGCTACTCCTCAGTCATGCCCCCACACTGCTCCTAGCTGAGGCTCACCCACTTTCCCACTGCTTTCTGGTGGTTTGCATAGAGACTGTCTCCTCCTTCACAGTTTGGCCTAACTCTGTGTTTTCTCAAATATTTTCACATCTTGCAATCAGTCTCTGGATGTGAACCCTATTTCTTTGTGCATGGTTTGTCCTGAGGTAGTGATGGGAGCCCCGGGGGACATGCAAAGATGGTAGAAATGAAAGAGTTCATGGAACATCGTCTGCACAGTCATCACAGGTTTTTGTCCTACTTGGCAGCTGTGGATGCTATGAGGAAGGAGAGGTGACAGGATATGGCTGCTGAGTTCTGCTCTCTGCTACCAGACTCTTGGGGAAATCTCAAGGTTTAATTCCTATTGAAGTTTAAAATCTGCTCTACTTGCATGAGATTTGCTGACATGCACAGGAAGGCTTCACTTGGTCCATAATATTTGAAGAATAAATTTGTAAACACTGACCACGTTGTGCTTTGTGTCTTTTCTGCAAATAATATCATATGTTTCTAGATTGCTGAATATAGAAATTTGATAAATGACTCTTGATTTTTTATCATCTCTTTTAAAAACTGTTTTCTCTCTTGTGGTTTAGCAAGAATATTTCAAATGTATACAAGAACCATTTTCCTTCTTTTTGTTGCCCTTTCCTTCTGACCACAGATGCACCCTGAGGCTGCAACAGTGAGGGTGTCCTCTCTCCCTTGCAGCTCAAGCACCCTTCTTCCCAAGTTCTGAACACTGGGCTCAGAATGACTTGTGTGAGTTCTAGGCCTTGCTTGTTAGAGGAGCATTCATGTGTCCCACAGCCCCTTCTGTCCTTCCTTGGGCTAGATCCTCTGGCTAAGGGAAATCTTGATGTAGTTGTTGCCATCTCCTTGGGGGTGCAGGGCAGTGAGAGAATGGAGTCCTGGACGAACTTGGGAAAGAAAGCTACCTGTGTCCTGACCTGCCTAGCAACTTGCTCCTCAGTGTCCAAGTTCATTGAGTCCTCTTGCTGTTGAGTCATGTACATGTGTTGGTGAACACTGTGCCTTGTGCTCAGCCTCTGTCCCTTAACTAACTCAAGAGCCATCACCAAAGATCAACACATCCTTGACCTTGCACCCTTTATTCTCTCCTGACTCTGTGAGTCTGGCCCTTTTGGACATAGATTACTTGAAGAGCCTTTTCCTCTGTCATTGTTTTCTAGGTTCTCAAGCCTGTAGAAACCACTACACCATATCCCTTTAATTGAATGACCACTTTAGGTGTCCAGTGTCTAGATAGTTCCCTGCAGCCTTCCAGTCCAGAGCCCCTCACCTCCATAGTTCTGCCCACCTAGGAACAAATCCTTCTTTTGCAAATGAGAGAAACAAGCCATGGTGGGTTTTTGGGGAGAAATGAGATGGCCTGTTGTTACTCTCACAGATACAGCATTATGGGTGATGAAAGTATTCTAGTAGGTAGCACAAAAGTTGAAAAAAATCGAGATACATTTAAAAATAATTAAAATTATTGTGATGTAGTAATGTATCTCAGGTTTTAAATTTGCTCTTAACAAAAGAAAAACCTAACTAGAGAAATTCCTAGGAATCCACAAGGATGATTACAGCTAAGACCTTAAGCATTAGTGGAATGGGTGCATGAACTGGCCTTCCCTTGTAAACTGGTGACTACCTGAGTTATCGTCATACAACCTTTATCCAGCAACTGATGGAGGCAGATGTGGAGATCCATAGCTAAGCACTGGGCTGAGGCCCCAGAGTTCAGTCCAAGAGAGGGAGGAGCAATAAAATGAGCAAAAGGTCAAGACCATTTTGGGGATACCCACAAAAACAGCTGACCTGAGTTAGTGGGAGCTCACTGACTCTGGATTGACAGCAGGGGAACTTGCATAGGACCAAACTAGGCCCTCTGAATGTGGGTGACAGTTGTTTGGCTTGGGCAGTCTGTGGGGCCATTGGCAGTGGGACCAGGATTTATCCCTAGTTCTTGAACTGGCTTTTTGGAGTCCATTGTCTTTAGAGGGATATTCTGCTCAGCATAGAAACAGCAGGGAGGGCCTTGGTCCTGTCTCAAAGTCATGTGCCAGACTTTATTGAGTCCCTGTGGGAAGCCTTACCTTCTCTGAGGAGTGGAGGGGAAATGGGGTAGGGGCAAGTGGGTGGAATAGGAGGAGGGGAGGGAGTGGGAACTAGGATTGGTAAATAAAATGAGAAAAGATTGTTCAAAAATTAAAAAATGAATAAAAAAGAAAAGCTTATGGAAAGAGACCCATTGGGAGGCAGAGCCAGGCAGATCTGAGTGAGTTCTATACAACCTTGGTCTACAAAGTGAATTCCAGGATACCCAGGACTGTTACACAGAGAAACCTAGTCTTGAAAAACTGAAGAGAGAGAGAGAGAGAGAGAGAGAGAGAGAGAGAGAGACAAACACAAACACAAACACACACAAAGTGGGGGGGAAGGCTCAAAGATGAGCAGGGTTCCCTGAAAGCGACATGAGAGACAGACCATGTGAAAGGAAGGACAGTGCAGAGGAGGATCTATGACCAGTCTGTCCTTGCTGAACACAAGTGACAGGCAACAGGACTCTGTCTGCAGCTGTTGCCCCTAGAGGGGTACTGCATGCAGTTCAGGCACTCTCAGGGTGTCCTGGTACGTGGGGAAGATGAGGAGGGTCCTCATCTTGAGCTGTGATTCCTCAGCCATGAAAGGGGGAAAATTACTGGTGCCCTCAGCATTGCACATGGCTGTCAATGGCAAGTGCTTAGTCAAAATACAGCCAATTGTAGTGGGTTATAACATCCATGATTCTACTTATAAAAATAAACTACTGAAATGAAAAATGATGGATGAAGTCAAGAATTGGGTGGTTGTCGTGTGTACCAGGAAGGTACAGGACCCTGAAAGATTGACACTAGAGTGTCACTTTGTGGTGATAAAAAAATCTTTACCCTGATTGTCCCAATGGCACTATGAACCCTTATCTGTGACTAATGGTGAAGGACTACAGTAAGCACATGGAAATGAGTGCAGTCAAAACAAATGGGATTGAAGTGTGTACTGAGGTCAGCCTCATTCGGCAGGCATGACAGAGAAAAGCTGTTTACCACATGGCATCCAGGACGCAAAAAGGAGTGACAAGAAGGAGACACAGCCAAGCATTTGATGACAAGCACCCAGTGACCCATTGTCTCTAAGTATACCCCACTTCTTAATAGACCCCTCAGAACTTTACTCATTCAATAAGTTAAACTACTTATCATGTCAGAGCCTTCCCCAAGCCATCTCTGCAAACTCAGACACAACGGGAAGCAAAGTCTATTAGCATGCATATTGTCTGCAATCCATCTAAGTGGACATCGTGATGACATTCACACCTCGCCCTCTTCCCCGCTATATCTCCATTAAGATAAGTTCAGTGCTTTGCAAGGAAAAACTATAGGAGATTTTTGAAGAACCCTGACAAGTTTCAGGATGGGTTTCTAGAGTTGACTTTCCTATCCCTGCTGGGTAGAGTGTAAGGGTGGCTTTGTTCCATTGCTGTCCATATGGCATAAAGAAAAGAGTAGATACACAAGGAAGGAAAGGGCTGTGGGCACCACTCTCCCACAGAGTACTATGTACAGGATGGACAGTGATGCCATTCTGAGGAAAGTCCTCAAGTGGGATTACAGTTGTGAGATCCTCAGGAAACAGATTCAAGTACCAATCACTTGGTTGGCTCAGGGCAAGAGGCTGAGTGTAGACAGAGCAAGTGTGCACAGTCAGGGGCTCCTCCCCATGGAGCCATGAACCCTACCATGGAGTCCACACCCATGGGCCATATTCCCTCCATTGATATTAGCTATTACCATTGCTACACACAGTTTCCACGTCCAGATGCCAGAACGTTGCTCCTCATCGCTCTCATGTGCACATTCAATCCCTTCTCATGGCACAACTTTTTCAGCTGATCAACTTTGCCCTGGATCCTACCAGGACAGGAGGCCACTGTCTTGTTTAGGATGTCCATAGCTGGCAGGACCACTTTCATTATCTGCTAGTTATGTGACTTTGGCAACTTAGTTACCCCTTCCTGATTTAGTGCCATTGTTATTTAAATCTGGTGTAAGAGGAACAGGATCATGCACATGAAGTGCTCAGAATAAGGTCAGCACACAGTAGGTGCTCCTTAAAGTTAGCTTTGAAAGCCTAGTGTGAAGAAACCAGAGTCAAAATTCTCCTCGTAAGTGAAGGGACTCTAGAACTAATTTGGGGACAAGTGAGAAAAGTGTAGACATATCAACCATGTCCCCAGGTTCTATCTCGGTCACTTTCCTCCCATCTGAGGAGCTGTAACAAGAGCAGGATCTTTCTCTGGTCTGAGGAGGCAGAGAGCCCATAGTACAACTGCACAGAGCTGGATCGACTCTGCCTGTCCTTACTGACATCTGGAGCCTGAGCTGTGTTCAGTATGAATGGGAGTTCAGTCTGATAGGACTGATGGCCTGGAATGAGCAACAGGTCAGCCTGCAAGTGCCAGCACCCTTCCCAAAGCCCAGAGAGAGTAGGACCAGGGTCACAACCAGAGCTCAGGAGGGAATATGAGTGACCCCAGAAAGGAGGTGTAGATGGAAGTCTCTGTCCCACCTGCTCCTGCAGCCATTTAGTCCCAAATAAACACACAGATGCTTATACTAACTATAAACTGTTTGGCCAATGGCTCAGGCTTTCTATTGGATAGCTCTCTCTTAATTATTAACCCATTTCTATTAAGCTGTATATCTCCACACGGTCTTCACTTACCAGTAATGTCCAGGCTTCTTTCTTCCTCGGCTGCTACGTGGTGTCTCCCTTGAGACTCATCCTCAGCATTCCTTTCCCAGCCTTCTCCCCATTCTGGTAGCTTCACCTTTATTTCTTGCCTGGCTACGTCCTGCCCTGTCCATTGGCCAAAACAGCGTTATTCAATAAGAGAAACACTAATTCATGGCATACAGAACGACATCTCTCATCACACTACACTACAGTTTGCAACACATTTATTTCACCATTTATTTAGAGTTTTACAATCCATTCTGTAATATACAAATCTCTTCCCATTTTTCAAATGCATGTGTAGTTACCACATGTAATATGGAGCTGTGTTGTGATTTTGTAGATGGGGAGCCTGGGGTGAGGAACAGTTTTTTTTTTTTTTTTTTTTTCCCACAACTCAGAGAATAAGCCAAGAGGGAAGCCAAGATGGCGATTTCCGTTACTTGTGACTGTGCTCCCCTGTAGAAATTGAGATTTTTGCCCTTAAAATACCTCAAACTTGCTTCTCCTTCTTTCATCAGCATGGCTTTAGGTTGGCCGATAAAATCACAGTGAGATGCAGGACGGTGTAAATGTCCACTGAGCCACAGGCCAACCACACAGGGATCCCTTGATCAGGCTTAGGAATGTATTGGAACATTCACA